TACAAAAAGAAAGGGAAATACGATTTATTTATTGGTTATTTTTGTGTTTTAATCCCTCTGGCTATCAGTAAAAAAAAGACAAGTGTCCAATAAATAGTTCATAAACAAATAAGTAGATAAAATAGAACAAACAAGCACTCTAGTTAGTTAGTTAGATAGTTACTTAGTTGGAAATAATAATAATAATCTATGTGAGATAATTCATTCCTTAAAAAATAAATAAATAAACAAACAAGTGATTCAATCAAATTTGAATAAAAAATAATAATAACAATAATTTACACTAATTAGTTTGTTTACCCGTCACTTTTGTTTATCTAAAGTAAACAACAACACTATTTAAAACCGCCGCTTACAAAAAAATTGCCGCGTGTTTTAACATTTTGTGTGTAGCCGAGAGAAAAAGAAGGAGAAGAGGTAGTGATTACCACCATCATTTGAGGCAAAGGAATACCTACCACCATCATTGTAAGAATAAGAAGGAACTACTAAATACCATCTCATAAAAACGAAACAGGAAACAAACGTTGTATATGGAGGGGGGATATTACCAGCCGAGGTATACATCTAACCACCCTTGCACGCCCTACCCTTGTGGGTATTATTGTTTATGAAAAGAGGCAAGAGATTGAAGAAACAACAAGTTGTTCCCCTTCTTCTCCTTCTTTTGATGGTCATAATGATAAGTCCAGAAATAGTCAAAAATAATTGGACGAATCAGTCACGCGTCTGTATGCGCACTTATATGTGTGGGCGTGTGCGTGGGTGTGTGTAGGCATGTGAATTACAGCAGATACATAGAAAATTGATTTCTGCATCGATTTTTATTTTAGCTAATAAATAATAATCTGACTTTAATAAAATAATAATAGTAATAGTTGTAATAATAATAATAATATTGAGTTATAATACAAATAAGCGAATTTCTTTTTGATAAGACCTCTTCGACAAATACACACACACACACAGATACACATACAGGCACAAATAACACACATACAAGAGAGGGGGCAGGGCAACGAATGAATGTGAATGAATGAAGAAAGGAAGAATCTGATTGGCTGAAGACAAAGAGTAGTGGATTTGAAACAAATATAATAATAATAATAAAATAAAAACAGGAAAATCTTTTTTTCTTTTTTTCCGGTTTTTTCTCCTTCTCCTTCTTCTACTTCATCATCAGTATCATCATCAAATATTCACGTCTAGAAACCGATATTGATTGCGTTGACCTCGAATACGTTCAAGTTTCCCAGAAACATAATATAGTCTACAATAACAATGGAAATAGCAATAATTAACAATAACGAGAATACAAATACAAACGGGTTAGTATTATTATGATTAGTAATACAAAGGAAAAGGGAAATTGATAAAATTAGCATAAACCTACATTACTACTGATTGATTTAGATAAGTAGTGGTTGTATACTACTCATATCGACGACCAGTAGTGTTTACTAGTCAATTAGATCGAAGTGATTTAGACACCAGATGGCAGTTTCCCTTTTTCACTGCCGAGCTAATCAGCAATGTACCGGGTTTAACTAAGCTCAGAGAGTAGATAGTCAGTTCAAACCCATCCAATTTCTGATTGGCTAATTGGGTGAACTGATTATTATGATTATTATTATTCCCTTGGGGTTCCGAGTGGATGGTACATAGGGCTTCAACAACACATCTCCACTTTCTTTTATTCTCTACTCTCCTCTCCAATTAGCTGACCCCACGATTGACCATAATCTCTCATCACCTCCTCCCCAACAACCGATCTAGCGACCCACTCGTCGCTTCCTATTCCGATTCCACTAGACATTTGGCAGGCGCTGAACGCGATGTCTTTCGACGGCCTCCTCAACGTATGTCTGATCAATCCATCCCCGTTTCCTCCTACACATTTGTTAAGTGATCGGCTCTTGCCTGTTGGTTTGTTCCCAGCCAGAGTTTCTTCTTGCTAATTCTTTCTGGCCGGCCGAGTGGCCATTTGGTCCTCAGTATGGAGCCAGCGAAGTGGGCAGCTGTTGATATAAGTCTGCATCTGGCCGTTGGAAATCGTTTTCTTGACTCACACTCAGTGCAACTTTCTGACCCGTATAGAAGAACTGACTGACCGATTTTACATTTTTTGTTGTTGAAAAATCCGAATCTTGTTCTTTGTGTTGGCTGAGCGAAGTAGACGATTTCCAAACTGTTTTCAGGTTGATGAAGGCTTTTCTTGACTTTCCGATTCTCACCTGCTTTGACATCTTCATCCGTGTCGTGTGCCTGTGATTCGAATGATTCTGCCTAACCAGATAAGTAAAGGAAGTAATCTCTGTTAGAACTCTCCCGCTGATAGTGATTGGTGCTGGTTGTTGTTGCTCCTTCTTTTAATGGTTGGTTGTCTTCACCATTTCCTTCTTCTCCATGTTCACCTGGAGTCATGTCTTCACCGTCTGCCTGCCTCCTCAGTCAGTTTGTTGGTTCTCGCTTGCCTATAAGTCTTAGAAATTGTGTAACATTAAACAAAAATCATCCACATCTTCTAGAGTCTTCTTATCGGTGAATCAAGCGTATTCCTCCCTGGCAGGTTCTCCAGTGGTTCTCTAACTGATGTCAGCTCATGATGAAATCCTCTATCCAATCAAACACATTATTGTTAATTATTTATCCTTGAGTTACAAGTGAAATTATTAGGGCTTCAGTGGTATATCTCCACTCCACTCAGTTCTCCAAAATGACTTTCAACTGGCTCCACAAATACACCCACAAGGCTTCATTTAGCCTTCACATGGTCTTTTTCTAGTAGGTAACTCTAACTACTATGGCTTATAATAATCAGTGTATCACGAAAAGAAACAGATGGATAGAGAGTTATGTTATTGATAAAGAGGTCACACTACAGGATTGCTTGTAGTCAATAAATAAACGACAGTTATACACCTTGTTCAGCAGATAATGAACTGGTTAAACGATGAACAGTAAAAGTAGAACAAACAGAGCACTGAATAAAAAAAGAAGTGACGAAGATTACTGTGGTGAAAGCTGTCTGCAAGACAAAATTGGCAGACAACAATTTACGTCTATGTTTACGTCCCAAATCGACGTCATGAGAAAAAAACAATAACAAAGCTTAACCTTGAGGAACTCAACAACCAATCACAGCAGACTTTGCGTGGGCGGATACCATTCGCAGATATATCAACGGACTGTCTAAGAAACGGGAACAAAGAGATAACACAATAACCTTCAGCAGGAAAACAACCAATCAGAAGACGTTGCTTCTCTATGCTGACAATAATGAATAATAATGTACATAAAAATCTATAAATATATGTTGATTTTCTCAACAAACGATCTGTTGCCTGGCCCTTTTTTCTTCTGTCGTTGCAGTACTAGGAAAGATATAAGATTCTTTTATGAAGCAATGGCAACTGAATCAGAACAAGCTACAGGTGAAAGAGAGACCTCAGAACACACTATATCAGATAACTAAGTCACTATCGGGGAAGAGATCAATACAAATGAAGGTGATGAAAGATAATGCAAGGAAATCTAATTACCAAAGAGATGGCGGTCACTTCAAAGAACTCCTTAAACCGATCACCATTTACAACTTGCCCAGAAATACCACAAACACCAGTCGACACAGTAAACACCAACACTCCAACAAAAAAGCGGAAAGTCTCAAATACTATAAAGTTACTGAGGACCTGGAAAGCAGTAGGACCAGAGAGAATTCCTACAAAATCATTGAAAACGCATCCCCAGAGACCCCAGTGGATAGTATCAGGCCGCCAATGAAAGTATGTATTTGTGCACCTCAAGTAAAATATTAAGTCACATCATCCTGGAGAGACTTGAAGGTATTCTGGATGCAAAACTCCGCCCGAAACAAGCTGTATTCAGGAATAAAAAGTCATTCGCTTATCAAATTGCAACACAACACAACACATTATCGTCATCAATATCATCAAACAGAGCTTAGAATTCCAGTCAAGTATCTACCTGAATTTCATCGACTCTAGAAAGACTTTCGACAGTGTCGACTGTGAAGTAATTCGGGAATAACTTCACAACGGAAGACTCACTCAAGTCTTCGAAGTAAAGATAAGGGTAAGACAAGACAGTCTAGTATTTTATCTTCCTTATTACAGTGGAAAGGGAACATGCGGTAGATAACAGGGAAGTGAGACGACGTACATACGTCGAACCGATAAAAATTCGAATCCATGCGTTTCACTCATAGTGTGGTGAGAGCAAGTCTGCTAGCCAAAATTAATTAGTAGACAACAATTTACGTCAATGTTTACGTCCCAAATCTTGGTCATGAGAAAAAAAATAAGAACAAAGACTAACTCAACAACCAATCACATCAGACTTTGCGTGGGCGGATACAATTCACAGATATATGTTCTGACCTTCAAAGAATCGGCCACAAAGAGATAACAGATTAACTTTCAGCGAGAAAACAACCAACCAGAAGACGTTGCTTCCCAGCTAACAATAACGAATAATAATAATGTACATAGAAATCCATAAATATCTCTTGATTTTATCAATAAACGACCTGCTGTCTGTCCGTTGTCTTCTGTCGTTACAATAGTACAAGGAATGGTTAATGACAGTGTGGTGAGAGCTGGCTGCTATCCAAAGTTGGTAGACAGTAATTGACGTCAGTGTTTATGTCCCCAATATTGGTGGTGAGAAAATGAGAACAAAGGCTTTGCGTAGGCGGATACAGTTAGCATATGGATGATCTGACACAGCCACAAAGAGATGCAAGGTTAACTTTCTGTGAGAAACAACCAATCAAAAGACTGTATTTTCTACTAACAATAATCTACAATAATGTACATTAAAATCTGTAATTATGTGTTGATTTTCCTTAATAAACGATCTGTTGCCTGGCCCTTGTCTTCTGTTGTTACCACAGTAATAATAATAATTATAATAACCCATTCCGAACAAAGAAATACTTCAAAATTTTAGCACAAAGTAGCGATAGAAAAAGAAATGCCTTACCTTAAACTACGACTAACTGATTCAAAAGTCATATTCTCATTTTTACGATAATATCCCCAAAGTTGTGATAATTTCTGTGGATTTCTTATTTGAAATATCCGCGCTTGTTTATCAATCCATTGAACACAATTAAGAAATTGTGAATTCATTGTAAATAAATGTGGTATCAACTCATCTTGTTGATTGTTTGCTGAATAGAAAGGCGTCGAAATAGGTGATGAAGAGGATGAAACGGAGACAGAGGCAGGCGTAGAGGAAGACGAGGAACAGATAACAACTGGTGGTGAAATGAATGCCGATGAACGATGATGATGATGGCTAGACGATGATGAGGACGTAGAAGAAGCGCCAGGAGTGAATAGAGATGATTCAGGCGAAGAATATTGTAAAATTTTACTAATAAACTGTAACAAATGCAATCGTTTTTGAACTGGATTCGGTGGAGTAATTGAATAATTTCTAGACGGACTTTTGCATACTACTGAATTAGTAGTAGCAGCAGTAGTATTAGTAGTAGTAATAGTAGCATCAGTAGTAGGGTTAGTAGCAGTCGTAGTCGTAGTGATGCTATGAGTACTGGCAGTATTGTTCATATTACTGATTGATTTAGACGACGACAATGGGGTAGAATGAACACAGGATAAATCGTGTTTCTCATTTTTTAACCAATCCCCATTTAACATACTACTCATATTATTGCTATTAATAGTAGTAGTAGTATTGCTATAATAAAAAGCTTTTTCATTATAATGACACTCTGATAGTGACGGAGATAACTGAAATGTATATGTAGACGATGAATCATGTTGATGATGACTAGGGAAGGGAATATGTTCACCTCCTCCGGCGCCGCCTACGCCTCCTCCTTGATGCTGACCATTATTATGAGTCATTTGTAGTGGAATAGGAGGACTAGATGTAGACGACGAATAATTACAGTGTTCTAGAGGAGGTGTTGAATAACCAGCATTTAGAAACAACATTTGTGCATTGCTGCGTTCATTGACACTTGATAGAGTGACTTTTTTCAAAGGGGAAGTGAAACGACGTTTCATCGCTTGATTCACACTTGACGGATGATGTTGGTGATGTTGATGACGGAATCGTGTTAGTAATGATACGGCGGGAGAATTGTTAGAATGTTGTTGTTGGTGTGGTTGTTGTTGCTGTTGCTGTTTTCGATTAAATCTCATCTGCCAAACAGGTGGTCTGTTGTAACCATGACTTTTTGTTGAGAATAAACCACAGCCTTCTTCATACTGTTGTTGACTTCTACGGGCATGATTACTGTCGTCAGATGACTGTTCAATGCCTGGTTTCATTGTTTCATCAATCAACGAAGACGGAGAAGGAGAAGGAGCGGCAGTGACAACAGGACTAGGCGTTTTATTCATACTACTAATTGTAGTAGTCGGTGTATTATCTGTAGATCTATACAATAACTTATCACAGCCGCCAGACTGTTTCACTGTCTTCATCAGTGAATTACCACAATTGTAAAGTTGTTGCGTTGATGATTGAAATGAACGACATGAACCACTACTTGTCGATGATGAAGACGATGAAGATGATGTGGAACCGCATTCCATCGTTGACGCTAAACTACTGTTATTATTATTATTATTATTCGTATTGGTATAATTTGTAGAACACGATGTAGGAATAGACGAATTGAACAGGTCAACTTCTGTAGGTGTTGAACATACTGAATTAGGATGACTGTAGCAACCGTTATAACCATTTGACGATGATGATGATGATGACAGGGATAATGAAGTCGACGATGAAGATGCTGGCATAAGTAACATTTCATATTCATTTGTAGATATCGGTGAATTATCATCTATGAGAGGAAAAAAATAAAAAGAAGAAGAGATCAAATAGTAATTGAATGTGCAATCCAAGTATCTACTAAAGTTCTACAAGAGTTCGAATAATTCAATGATAACCTCTGTGTGACTGGAGCACTAGGTGACACGGGATCGAACTTCAGAAGGCATAGGAATTCCTTCAAGATTGCATATAATAATAATAATAATAATTTGCTTTATTCCAAAACAGTACTTGTGATACAGAATGGAATTCTCAGCATTTTTACTGCAGTATTGCATCCAGTTAGTACATTATCAATAAATAGAATTCTACATAGATTAAGGAAATCTCAGTTCATTATGACAACAACACATTGGCATGTCGGTAGCAAAGGTAAAGCTGAACAGTGTTTGAAGGTGTTAGAAAAGTAGGAGCTGTCATATTTACTGGCGTAAGCAGAAGAAAGAAACAAAGCAGCATATAACGGAAAAAAAGAAAGAAAGAAAACGTTGTACATATAAATGATATGAGTTGGAAAGACGAAGTCCAGTTGTTCTACTGACTATTTAATTAGTTATAGGTATCACGCCTAATGCTTTCTTTATCACACAGAACACGAGCTAATTAGGGTATGGTTGAGTTTTTGTACTTGCTGGTGCGAGCATATAGTTTTCTATATGGGCTTCTGGTTTTACCTGATGAGATGCAAGGGGAGAGTTGTGAGTGAAGAGAGTGGTATGAGTTAGATAAAATGGATTTGGCCCATTTTTCACATGAGTCCATGTGCCTGTCAACCAGAATATTAACAAGCTGGTTAAGTGGCACATTGCTTACCCTGTTGACAACCTTTAACATCCTACGTAATATGTTATAGTCTTTCTTCAGTAGCCCGGGAAAAACTAAGGGGGAACAATAGAGAATAATAGGCAGAATGCGAAAGTTAACGAATTGTAGGAGTAAGGGTTGGGTTATACCAGAATGTTTTAACTTCTTGATGTAGAAGGTAAGACGGAATATTTTCTTAGAAATCATCAAGATATGAGATGACCAGGAAAGATCAGCAGATAGAATGACGCCTAGGTATTTAATTTCCGACTTGGTTTCTATTTCAGTACCATCTATGTTGCACACCTCGTGAGAGCCAACCAGTTTGTTTAGGTCGGATTTATGCCTAAAGGTAAAATTGACTGTTTGGCATTTGGAGGGGTTTAAGGTAAGACCGTTCTCCTTGGACCACTGGCTGATTTCTGACAGAAAGCCATTAAGTTTAGAGTAGTCGCTTTGACATTTGACAGGCAAAGATACTGTCAGATCGTCAGCATGTTTGACAAAATTAATGTCAATTGAAGATGGTAAGTCATGTAGAAAGAAAGAAAAGAGAAGTGGGGAGAGTACAGCACCTTGGGGGACACCGGCTTCAGTGAGTACAGCAGAGGAGGATTTACCTTTGTATACGGTGTACCGATTTCTGTTAGAGAAGTAGGAATGCAGCCAGTTAGTGACCCAGAACTCAGTTTTTGTCAAAGAGAGCTTATTTAGCAAGAGACATCTAGGTACAGAGTCGAAAGCAGAAGTGAAGTCGAGAAACGTGCACCGGACGTATTTGGCACCTTTATCTAATGATGAGACGGTACTGTTGTGTAAGACGGCTGCAGCATCTAAAGTGCTCCTGCCCTGTCTATAGGCAAATTGTTTGGGGTCTTCAAAGTTTTTAAGGGAGGGTTTAAGTTTAAGAAGTACTAGTTCTTCCATAAGCTTTAGAAACAGGGAAGTGATGGCAATGGGTCTGAACTTTACGTTCTTGCTGTTTCCAGGTTTAGGGACAGGGACGCCTTGCTGATGAGTGCCACCAAGCACGAAACATAGGTCGAAGGCTTCTTGACGATTGCCTCCAATCATCTAACAATAATTCAGGGTGTAATGTGATGGCATGCCCACCCAGCATGGTGGACACATTGGAAACTCGACTGATGGAATTCAGTCTGCACCAAACACCAGAGACTACACGCATGACACTAGTTACTCACTACTACCTCGTGTTCAGTCAAACATATCTATCTTAACACGATCACTTCTAAATGATTTAGATATCTGTTTGCTCTTATTAATATATATGCGTAAAACTTTGGCACTGTGCTAGTAAGTAATTCCATATTGGTTTGTTTATTAGATGTTATCACACAGTCAGTGAAACAGTATTATTATTTACTGGATGACAAAGTTTCGAACAAAATTTATTATTGTTCATAATCATTTCATCAATTTTAATCACACATGACTTCGAAATTCGGGTTTTATAGTTTTCTTTGTTCTCTCCTATTTGTCGTCGTTGTGATAGTGTTGAATCATTCCTATTACACGTATTTGCAGTTGATTCGATAAATAAAGCTTCCGTTATCAATCTCTCCCTCCACCGTGTTATATTAGATTAGATTTTAAAACTGTCATCTTATCCCATCCAGCCTATTGTATGGTTGTGTGTAATTGCATGTGGTGTAGTGCTATAGCTGAACTATTCTCTAGATTTCTTATCTTATTTGGATCAACTAATCTAGATTTTGCTGCTAGGTTTTTGTGCTCATCTAGTCTGATTGACCCCATTCTACTACTTTGACCTATGTATTTGACCTGACAAATCATCGCAGGCAGGGTATTATTATTTCCTTTAATTCCTAGAGGAACATAGGGCTTCAGCCAAGCACGTCTCCATTGCGTTCGGTTCTCTGCTAAAGTTTTCACCTGGCTCCAGGTCTTCCCAGATGCTTTCATCTTCTCTTCACATCACCTCCTCCACTCCATTTCACCCTCACATTGATGACTGACTCGCCGCTTCCCGTTCGGATTCCACTCGAGGGCCTGTCTTGTGATGTCACTTGATGGTTTTCTCAGAGTATGGCCTCCAATTCACCTACCTCCATTTCTTCCTGCAGATTTGTTGCACAGTTGGTTCCTACTGGGTTGGTTCACTCATTGCCAGAGATCCCTCCCTGTTGCTGATCTTTTCTGACCGGCCATCTGATGTTGAGTACTGAGCGAAGGCAACTGTTGATGAAGGTCTGTAGTTTGTTTGAGGTGCTCTTTATGACGCGCCAGGTCTCTGATCCGTATTTTATTGAGTCGACATGACTGTTTATTTTTCATTATTACTACCGTGTCGTCTACATATCTCCACCAACAACATTTTATTGATGACCTGAATGGTTTAAGTGCATTCTCTTCCAAAAATATTACCAAAACATAAAAAACTTATCATTGTGTGTAAACCATTGAAATATATAATTATACTTTATTGGATCTATTCCACAATGCTTAAACTTTTTTCACCGACATTAATTCAAATAGTGTTAGTGTAAAAATATGAGACAGAAAAAAGAAAACACCAGAGAATTCTTTGAGTTCCAGTACTCAACTCAAATCGATTTGTAATTACAATAGACTGACTTGTTGATATACAGAACAAATTTATTAATCAATAAAAAAAAGGTCACACAGTATCAAAAGGGTCAAATAACGCGTCAATGAGAGGATCAATATTACAATACAAGTAATTAGAGGAAGAATTTGTATTTCTTGAAAAGATGTTCAAGAGTAATGGTTAGCCCTCAAAGATTCATTAACAAGTACGGGAGATCTAAGGTCTCAAATGTCAAACAAATCACAGTGGAGGAAAAGCCTATCTACATTCAACTTGATTATAAAGGTGAAAACATTGCAGCGATGATCAACAGAAGACTGAGCACATCACTAGCCATAGCCTATCCTGCAGCTAAGCTCGTTCCCGTCTATCGAACAACTTGCTCTTTGGTGCAATCAAAAATCGATAGATATCCTTCTCATGTTAACTCCAACTGTATGTATACAAATTTACATGTATCTGTGGGAGCAGTTACATTGGAAGAACAGAAGGAAGAAGGGCATATCTACGATTTTCTGAACATGTACCAAAAAGCTTATGTCTGAAGGGAACAAATGCTTTAAACAGTGCCATCGTCAGGCATCTCCTTGACACGGGTCATGAGGTGGACATCGCAAAATCGTTCAAAATTATCAATAGGCAAAAGAGTTCAATTCTCCTCAAGTTTGCTGAAGCAATCTCCATCAAGCGCCTGAAACCCGATTTATGTGTTCAGAAAGAAGTGGTTATCAGTCTTTCCTTGCCCTGCCTGGTAACTGGATATTTTCATCCTCTCTTTCATCTGATTACGCAATGCCGAAAGTTTCCATTGTGTATGACCATTATTGTTCGGGATAAAGTGTTTATTATTATATATATTATTACTGTATGCATATACTGATTGTTGATTTTTGTTTAAAATGAACTCTGTGCAAGTATGTTAAAATTGTTTCTGTAGATATACTTAATAATGACTTTGGCCTGTAAGCAGCTGATGAGAAGCCAACGAAATAAACAATGATGGTACCATTTTATTCTGCAAAAACCGCTGTTTTTCTTGCTTTATTCAAATAAGAATATGCATAGGGACAACCAATCACAGTTAAGAACACATATTTTTATCGATGAATAATCTTCAGAGACCACTTTTCCTATTGAAATTGGCACTGAAGATATTGTCTAGAAGGATAATGAAACGTTGCACAGTTAAACCATTCAGATCAAAGAGGACAACAAGACCAAAAAATTTCGTCAGTCGGTGTCTTATGAACTGCCTAAAATCTGAGTAACGAAAGTTAGAAGCATTTTAACACTTTTAAAATTCTTTAGTGAATTGAGGAGGGAATGCAGAAGTTTGTACGGGTTATCCCCTTCAAAATTTTCAAATTAAACTTAGGTACTCACAAAATGACATTGCAGTAAGTCTTTCACTAACTTGAACTTCTCAAGAGTACGCGCACCCATCGGGGTTCAAACTCAGAAATTTGCGGTTACAAAGTGATCTTGTAAACCATTCAGTCAATGGGGACTGATTCGATGGGGCAATGAATTCCAAATTCTGCCAATTCGCAAATCGCCCGTCAGAGCGATCAGCCAGTAACTTTTCTCTTACCTGGTTCGGAGGACCCTGCTGGTCG